AAATTCTAGCAAGAGAGAACTTCCTTTTAAACTAAGCACTGGTAAACATTAAATCTTTAAATTAAAATAGTATCAATCAAGCCAGGATTGGTGGCAGTTCCTATAATCCTAGCCCTAACATCTTAAGTGGCCCGCACAGAATGAGGACTTAGATTTTTGCCCTGTTCGTTATAGGGCAGAGCCTCCCACAGAAAGGAATGGAGAAGCTGTTGGGCCCTCTTTTAGAAACTGATCTGAAAAAATTAAAAGGGAACTTGCCAATTTAAGGGCTGAGGCAGGAGGATTATCGAAATTTCGAGGCTAGTTACATAGTAACTTCCCAGTGTTGTAGCCTATAGTGTGAGACGCTGCTTCAAAAAAAATCCAAACAAAAATAAATAAAATCACACACACACACATACACACACACACACACACACACCACACACACACACACGGAGAAATTGCCATGGATTAGCCTCATGCTCTCTTAATTTCAATTCTGCTTTCCTCCATTATTTTCCCATTCTTCTGTTTTCTTTTTTCAGTGCAGGGTCTGAACCAATAGTATCACACGTGCTACCAAGCACTCTACTACCAACGGAGGTCCACATTCCAAGTCACACACTTTTGACTCTGGAACAAAGCACAAATCCACACGATAAGAGGTCTGGTCCTGCACCTTTCTTTCATAATCCTGGGAGGGCCAGCACAATGGGTGGGAAGAGTATTCTTGGAAGCTTGGGGACAGCTGGCAATATCCTAACCACATATAAAAGAGACTCGAGGTTACAAAAATAAATCTTACTAAATGCAAACCAAATGTAACCCTAGTTCAATTTTAGCAAAACATTTAGATGACTGCCAGCTACTCCAACACCTATAGTCAAGAGGAAGTATGGCAGAGGGGGAGTCACTGAGGATGAATGAGAACAGTAATAAGACCTTACTCTTTACAAAAGTTTATCAAAGCATATGGTCACGGAGACATATTGTTAAGATCCCTTCTAGGGTCTTAGAAGGGGCACTGCTCCTGTAAATCCTAAAAGTGAAGTTTCACCAACTGTCTTCAGGATCTGGAGACATTCTTTGGTCCTTGACTCATAAAACATATTAAGGATGAAAGGAGCTTTTATATGGGTCATATCTGTCAGCATGTACTATAGTGGGAGTTAAAAAACATGTAAAATACTTTTATTAATGCATTTTAAAACAATTATATTACAAGTTAAAAGAATAACTCGCCCCCTCCCCCCTGACAGGTTTCTCTGTGTAGCTTTGGAGCCTGCCCTGGAATTTGCTCTGTAGACCAGATCTCTCGAACTCAGAGATCCACCCTGGCTCTGCCTCCCCGAGTGCTGGGGATTAAAGGCGTGAGCCACCACCCGCCCGGTGAAGAATAACATTTTTAATAAAAACATTTAAAAAGTATTAGTGAGATGTGTGTGGTATTTTTGTTTATATTTCTGTCAATTCTCTTGTTTGTGGCTTGGTTGGGATATGCTCTACCCTCAACTGTTACAGGGGTGCAGTCGTCTCTGGAAATTCAGCTGTGTTGTCATTATAGTGAAAGAGGAGGGAGAATCTTCCTACAAAAATAATTTTGGCTTTATTGACCCCTGACTAGGTTTGCAGAACCACACATTTACAAGTCAATTCTTTTGGGTGCCTGAAGCTCTTTATCTATTTAATCAACCCCACCTCCCCAGATAAGTGCCAATCGGTTCCCTACTTTAGCAAACAAGGAAAACTTTACAGACAGCTTTTAATGAATAACAAGTCTTAGGGAAGTTATCCTTTCACTGGCAAGGGGTAAATTATCTCCAGCATTGTCCTTAATTCTAGTTAGTAAGGCTTTAAAACCATGACTAAGCTCAAACACAACTTAGGTGCTTCATATAGTGTGCTCAGTAGTGTTTTGTTTTGTTTTTTTTTTTTTTTTTTGGTTTTTCGAGACAGGGTTTCTCTGTGTAGCTTTGCGCCTTTCCTGGAACTCACTTGGTAGCCCAGGCTGGCCTCGAACTCACAGAGATCCGCCTGGCTCTGCCTCCCGAGTGCTGGGATTAAAGGCGTGCGCCACCACCGCCCGGCGTGTTTTTTTTTTTAAAGATTTACTTTTATTAATTTTAACTCTGTGTGTGTGTGTGTGTGTTGTGTGTGTGTGTGTGTGTGTGTGTGTGTGTGTAAATACAGGTGCTCTGGAGGCCCAGAGAGGTGTTGGATCCCTGGAGCTAGAGTTGCTGGCCCTTGTGAGTGTTCCAACATGGGTGCGGTTGTGCCCTATCTCCAAACGGTTCTTTTGTTGTTGACGCTTGTTTGTTTTTGTGTGGGTTTGTTTGGGTGTAGGTAACAAAATCTAAGGCCTTCTTCCATGGTAGGCAAATACTCAAAGGCTAACAGTCTGGCACACCCCTGGCTGCTCCTATTACCTAAGTTTCCAACTTCTCCCTGAATCCATGGGCTAAGTAAGTGCTTTTTTATTCATTATCGTATTTCATCCTCGCAGCCATCCTAGGAGACAGATAATAATACTGGACTCTTTTGCAGATGTGAAGCCTAAGTAAGATACAGGCAGGTTAAAGCCCAGTCTTACACAAAACTGGGTCAGGATTTAAACCCAGACGACGCTGGGGTTCAGTCTATTATTCACTGATAAGAGTATACAGGTGGGAGACAGCGCGAAATCCTCGTGTTTAAAGGTATAAATAGGCATTTATTAAACCAAAAGCCCGTAAGGGCCAAGAAAGCCCCGACAGCCATCCGGGACGCACGTCTTATTTCCCATCCCACGACTCCGCGTGATTTCCTCATTTTCCAGACATCTCTGTCTGTCCCGATGCCTTCGACGCTCTGAGACCGAACGCTGACCCCGAAACGCAGGCGCTCCGTGGAATGGGGAAACTTGTGGGCGGGGCGGGGGGGGGGGAAGGGAGGAGGAACCCCCGTGGTAACCACGGTAACGGTGGCGTGGCGGGAGTCGTGCGCAGGCGCACTGCGTCCTCGCGGGGGGCCTGCCTGGGCCTGGAACTCCCCGGGGCCGAGGGCGACTCCGGCTGGTGGGTGGGAGCCCGGCGGCGCGCGCCTGCGCACTGGGCCGGGCGCTGGTGTGACCGGGCGCACGTAGCGAGGGCTGCGACCGCCCCTTCCCCGGCGCGCCGGCGCGGCCCGGGGGTTATAAAAGGGCCGGACGGGCTCCCTCTGCCGCCCAGGGGCACCGCTAGCAGCCGGCGGAGGGGAGGTAACGGGGAGGCTAGCGGCCCGAGCGCAGGCGACAGGACCCGACAGGACCCGCCGCACCCGAGCTGTCGCCGCCCTCCACGGCCCCGCTGTCTAGGTGAGGCGCTCCCCCCGACCTTGGGGACCGGTGCCGGGTCCCCGCGGGCAGCCGGGGGTGAGGGTGGGGGTCCCCTCGCTCTCGGCGGCGGGGGGGCACTGTGCCGTGCCACCACCGCCCCCCCCGCCCCCCCCGGGTCTCTCGGAGGGGATGCGGCCCCCGCACCCCCCGAGGCCCAGCCGCCCCGCCGCCGCTCGCCCCGGCTTCCCCTCGCCGCCCCCGTCCTGCCCCCGTCCGGCTAGGAAGGCTGCAAGCCGCTTCTGCCCCGCCCCGGGACTGGGACCTTCTTGAATGTTCCATCCCGGGCAGCCAGCCTCCCCTGTTGACTTGGGTCGCGGCGGTACCTGGTCCTCCCTCCAAAGCTGGAGGAAGGAGGCGGCGAGGGCGGGCGGGCGGGCGGGGGTTTTCTGGGCTGCCACGGCCGCAGATGGTTAGCATGTGGCTGGGGAGAAGCTTGCGGCGGGCGCTTTGCAGCCGGGGCTGAGGCACTCCTCCTCCGCCTTTTTCTTTTTTTTCTTTTTTTCTTCTTCTCGCTTTTGCAAAGTGAAGCTGGGGAAGTGGGACCCGCTCACAAGTTAGGGCTGGACTTGTCTGTGGCGTGTCGCGGTGCTGCCTCAGCCGTTAGACGTAGCCCGGGGAGTTGAGCGGCGGGAGCTGAGAAGTGGCTGTCATTCAACACTGTCGGGGAAGCTGGCTTCCTCTGCATCCCCGTGAATCATTTAAGGACGCGTGAACCCATCTCTGAATTCTGTATCCCCCCCCCCCACTTCGTCCTCCTTTCCCACTCCCCTCGTTCTGCTCACTCCCCCCCACCCCTTTTCGTCCCTCCCGCCCTCCCTCCCCTCGTGGGGTCGAAAAGTCAGTCTATTGCATGCAGGCAGACCTTCCATGGTTGTGTGAGAATTTTAAATTTAAATTTTGTGATCGCCCCCCCCCCCCGATGGATGTTTAGTGTGTATGTATATGTGGGGGGGAAAGGATGGTACGAGAAACATGAGACCCTTTCAAGAGCGGGAACTTAATACGGACGCACTTTTTAGACGCTGACATCTTAAGCGGACCGCACAGAATGAGGACTCTTGGATTTTTTTTGCCCCCTTAGTTATAGGGCAGAGCCTCCCACAGAAAGGAGTGGAGAAGCTGCTGGGTCCCTCTTTTAGGAACCGAGCTGAAAAAAAAAAAATTAAAAGGAACTTGCCAGTTTCAACTTAACTGTTTCTCCGAGAGCCGTGGCTCTTGGACTTTTCCTTGGAATGCGCTCTGGAGGGATGGAATCGCCACTACGTGAGTGGGGGAGGGGGGAGACGTGGCAGCAGCGTTCTTTCATCAACTTTTTGCCTTTTTTTTTTTTTTAAGGTTGAGGGGAAAAAAAGTATTTCCCTTCTCAGGTTTAGATGTAGCTTATGAATGGAGCTAGTCTTTTCCTAAAATAATCATATAAAAAAAAATCATGCCTGCGTAGCAGGAACACTGAAAATTAATTTTAAAAACACATAAAAGGGTTATTTTGGTTATTTCTAGGGGAGAAAGTAGATTTTTAAGCAGGAAGTAGTGAGGAAGCTGAAAGTGAACAAGCTTGAATTTTTTTTTGGTCTTGATTTGAAATATGAACAGCTGTGATTTCTTTTTTCCCCCTCAGCCTCTGATTTTTCTTTAACTTTGGACTTTAGCCCGAGTGTCATTTCAGATCCTTAAATATGATTTTGAAGTTTTGCCTTTTTCTTTCTGTAGGAAGCATAGATTTTTTTTTTTTTAACTACTTCTTTCAGAGGTTGTGACAGTTTGATTTTGGAATATTATGTCTAGTGTTTTTTCCTGAGGGCAAATGCCTTTTGAGTTTATAGACTAGGGAAAGGATTATTTCTCTTTTAGGTGGGTAAAGCTGTTTCCATTGTTCTACTGAAATGAGTTTCATTTTGAAATATTGAAAACAGGGACTGTGATATAAAAGGACTGAGCAATTTTGTCCCTTGCTAACTCTGCAAAGTAGGTGAAAAATAGGTACAACTTGTAATTATTATAAAAATAAACTGAAGAACAAGGCTTTAGGCCACCTGGGTATTCCATTGTTGCAGGTGAGTCTCAGCTTTGGAAGGGGGAGACTGCTATTTTTTCTGTTGCTGCAGAGTGAGTTACATATTTGACAAGTATGGAGTAGTTAATTTCAAACATTTGCATTGATGCCAGGGATATGTTAAGAATTGGGACAGCGATAAAGTTTGTGAACCTTAGTTTCTATGGAAGGAGTGCTTTGTTTTTAATAAACCACTAACCTGGGGGGGGTAATTATTGTTCTTAGATTAATCTTTGAGATCCAGAATGGTTTTCAACCTATTTTGAGGCCATGAAACCCCTTGAAAGTCAGCAGGAAGGTGGGGGGCCTAAATCAGAAAATACAAATACACACTTCTATGTAATTTTTATATATCATTTTATGCCCCCATCCATTAACTCCGTTATAAGAATCCCTAAAAAATAAGAGATGTGAAGCTACTATTTAAGAATATCTAGGCTTCTTGAGGCAGACTTCTTGATTGTTTTAGAAAGTTGAGATGAGCATATGTCAGCTTTATTCAAGTATATAGATGGCTCTAATAAACTTTTGCTGAAAGTGTTTTTAACGAAATAGGTTCTTAGAATTTGTTGAACTGCTGTATTGTGAGTCAATAAAATATATCATGTTATATTATGGTCCTTCCTCTCCCCCAATATTGTAACACTGAAGGTGAAATAAACATGAAGATAAGAAAAATAACTTGAATGGTCTTTTGACATTGAGTTTTATTGCCTTTCTTGTGGTAAAATATTGAATTTTACAATTAAACCATTTGTGGCATGTGTATAAATATATGCATAAAATGAGGACTTAGATATGTGAAATCAGGGGTTGGGGATTTAGCTCAGTGGTAGAGCCCTTAGAGCGCTTGCTAGGCCCAGGGTTTGTTCTTCAGCTGGGGGGCGGGGAAGATATGTGAAATCAGTTAAAACTTGTGTTTATATTTGGTGAAATGTTTTTATATAAATTGAAGCTATCCTCTCGTTAGTTTTCCTTTAGCCAAATAGATATTATGCCTGATTAAACCTAGAAAATTATAAAAGATTCTCATTTAGGGTACTATAGAAATTTTGAAGCAAATTCCTCTTCCTGTCTTCTTTTGGATGCCCAGGATGATTGTTAGTATATTTGGCTGGATGTTGGCTAAAAATACAGTGCTAAGATTCATGCATCTTACATAACTATCATCAGAATAAATTCTGCCTTAGATTTCTTCTGCTTCCTGTTTTTAGAAATGTGTCCATGTTTTGATGGTTTACAGTTTTCTCAGTAATATTAAATCAAATTAATATACCATGCTTCTGATATTTTACATTTGAGCTGTTTATTATAAATAATGTAAAGGGAAAACTAATTCAGTAGTTGTTTCATTTATTTGGATGGTTGCAGATAACTTTTAACTGTTTTTCTTTTCATCTCTGTAATTAATTAAATATTTTGAGAAAGGTTCTCACTATTGTAGCCCTGGTTGAACGTAGAACTTCCCTCAGACTCAGAAAGATCTGCCTGTGTCTGCCTCCCAAATGCTGGGATTAAAGGCATATGCCACTGTGCTCAGCCTTGTCTTAGTCATTTTTCTGTTGTTCTAACAAAATGCTCAAGACTGGATAATACGTAAAGAAAAGAATTTTGTTCATGAATCTGGAAGTCTTAGAAACACAGCTCTGGCTGGGCGGTGGTGGTGCACTCCTTTAGTCCCAGCACTCGGGAGGCAGAGCCAGGTGGATCTCTGTGAGTTCGAGGCCAGCCTGGGCTACAGAGCAAGATCCAGGAAAGGCGCAAAGCTACACAGAGAAACCCTGTCTCGAAAAACCAAAAAAAAGAAGGAAAAGAAAAGAATCATGGCTCTGACTTGTGGTCAGCTCTAGTGATGGCCTCACAGCAGATGGCCTCACAATGCTGAGAGTATTTGAAAGTAATCATGGGGTAAGGAGGAAAGCCACATAGATCCAGGGGTGTGGTTCACTTTCCCTAACAATCTGCTCTTGAGGGAACTGACTGACATACCCTGAAACAGCGTTATCCCTTCTAAGAGTGGCAGCCCAGTAACTTAACCACTTCATTGGTCCTTTCTGAAAATGCTGTCCCCAGTGACTTCACCTCCTCCTGTTAGTCCCCACCTCTTACAAGCTCTACCACTGGGGCTGGGCAGGTGGCTCAGTGGTTACCAGCACCTGCTACTCTTGCGGAGGACCTGGGTTTGATTTCGGGGCTCACAATCGACAGTAACTTCAGTTCTAGAGGATCTTATGCACTCTTCTGACCTTTGAGGATACCAGGCATGCACGTGGTGCACATACATGCATGTGGCCAGAATACTCATACACACACACACACACACACACACACACACACACACACACACACACATATACATACACACACACACACACACACACACACACACACACACACACATATATATATATATATATATATAAACATTTTTAAATCTTAGTAACAAAACAAAAGCTTCAGAAGTTCTACCCTTCGGGTGATGAGATGGCTCAGTGGGTAAAGACACTTGTTACCAAGCCTGGAAACCTGAGTTCAGTCCTCAGGGCCCACATATTAGGAGAGAGACCTGACTCCTGGGAGTTGACCTCTGCACCTCCTTCATCTTGCATGTCCTTCATCTTTCCTCCCACTCCCTGTCTACAGCCATACTCGGAGACTAAGCTTCCAACACGGGAACCTTTGAGGTGTAAAACTAGATCCAAACCATGGATGCCAACCATTGTACTCATCCTCAAATAATTTAGAAAGTGCTCCGGAAAAAGGTTTTATTTATTTTTGAGACAAAGTCTCATCACTATGTAGCCCTGGCTATCCTGGAAATCATTATGTAGTTTTATATACACACACATAACTTATCTATACTCCTAGGCTCTCCTTCCTCTATGTTGGGAATCGAACACAGAGTTTTGTGCATGCTAAGCAAGTG